ATTGTATTTTGATCCAGTCAACTTATGAAACAGCAAAATTTCAAAAATCACATGAACTAGTGGAGTTCACAATAGAATTAGTGTTATACTTGAACTCTTTTAAGGCACTACCGATACTTAATATAAACTATTTTATGAAAGAACCACATTTTTCTAAGGACTATAGTATTTGTCATTTCATCTATTTCTCACAACCCTGAAATAGGACAAATACTATTATCCTTATTTTAATAAGTAAACTGAAGCTCAGAGAAGTTAAATATTTAACATGGTCTAGATAGATCTGACTCCAAGTGTTTCTTTTATCACATTATGCTGCCAAAATTTTAAGCTTTCTACTTTTCAAGTTGCTTTATAGCCAAGAAAATTTGGAAAATGTACAGCAGAAAACATAATGAAGTTTTATGGTCTATTTGCTAAAAATCTCATTATCGTATGATATACAAGTTATCTAACTGAAATGATGAACTAGTTAATTCAGCTAAAATAAACTTGGAACCCAAGAAAAATCTGCATTTAAAGCTAAGTGAGGACTTCCCTGGTGACCTAGTGGTTAAGACTCTACGCTTCTATCGCAGGGGAACTAAGATCTCACATGCTGCGTGGCATGGCCACAAAATAAAAAATAAATAAAATAAAGATAAACAAATCCAATTTAAAATGCATAAATGTGAAATAATGTAACTCTACAATAATACTATTTTCTAGGATCCAAAAAAAAAAAAAAACACTTCTATCATTCATCTCAATCACTTATATGTTAGCTTCCTAGAGATAATCAGTTTCAAAGACAGTTTCAAAAATATTCATTCCTCTATATTTATTTCATATGAATTACTACAGGGCAAAGAAACAGAGAAGACTAGTGAACCAAAGAGAAACATTTAGTAAGTGAAATACCTTGCAAGCATGCTAAATCACATCAGTCATGTCTGACTCTGTGCGACCCTATGGACAGCAGCCCTCCAGGCTCCTCTGTCCACGGGATTCTCTAGACAAGAATACTGGAGTGGGTTGCCATTTCCTTCTCCCAAGTGAAATACCTTAGGTTTGAATTTTTTTAAAAATTCAAACTACTGGGAGATTTTTAAAAATAATCAGTTAAAAATTAATTACCAAGAAATGGTGCACTGGGAAGACCCAGAGGGATCGGGTGGAGAGGGAGGTGGGAGGGGGGACCGGGATGGGGGAATACATGTAAATCCATGGCTAATTCATTTCAATGTATGACAAAAACCACTGCAATGATGTAAAGTAATTAGCCTCCAACTAATAAAAATAAATGGAAAAAAAAATTAATTACCAAGAAAATACCCAACAAACTGTACCTTAAGTGTACAAAAATATATTAGAGTCTAAAACTGTGTACTATACCCTCACAGTCCTAAGTCAGGAAGCAGACCACTCACACTGGACTTGGGAAGAAGGTAGCCTAAAACTAATTTTGTAATTGGTAGCATGACATGCATTTTAAGTAATAAAAGTATGGAAGAAGCTGAAAAATAATTTTTTGGAGTAAGTGATTTGTGGAAAAATACTGTGGAATTTTTTCTTCATGCCCACTTTTATGAGAGTAGCTCAGACCTTGATCTGGTACCCTGCTAACTGTTGATACAAGAGCCATGCCTGGAAAGATCCAAGAGACTGTGGCTGGATACCTGCTCAAACAGAACAAGGATAAATGGCTGTACTGCAATGCATTGTTATTTTCAGGGCAAAGGATGTGAGATTTTTCCTATGGATCTGATGATGGCACAGGAAGGCATCCAGCTTAAAAAGGACTTGGGCTTCCCTGGTGGTTCAGAAGATAACGAATCTGCCTGCAAGGCAGGAAACCGAGTTTCGATCCCTGGGTCAGGAAGATCCCTTGAAGAAGGGAATGGGTGTTGGTGATGGACAGGGAAGCCTGGTGTGCTACAGTCCCTGGGGTCCACGACTGTGCAACTAAACTGAACGGAACTGAGTTCTTGAATACCGAATGACTACTTGGAGCTGAGTTCTTTCATATATTATCTTATTCCAATATATCTATACTTGGATGGTAACACACTCATCAGATTCTGTCTCTTGAGAATTATTAATTCCAACCAGACAGGAGAGCAATGGATGGTTACCTTCTGAGTAAAAACTGAAGTCATCAGAGCTACTATCTCCTTGCTGGGGGAACTGGAGGGTGTTAATGATGAGGGACTATCAGTCCAGTTCTCCATGACGACGCACGCATATTCTAGCCTTAGGAGGAATGAGACTGAGTCTTTACTGACTTCCTTACAATACATCTCCATCTTCTGAGGTCACGCTTCTTAAACCAGGGGACACACCTATGACTACAGGAAACTGGCTATTATAAAAAGCTGCAAAATAAACTCTATTCTCCCCAGAACAGCAATGTTATGATACGGCAAGAGTTCAAAACAGTATCAAACACAAATATTATGAAACTGAATGCAACACTCACATGAACTTTTATAACAGACTAGAATTCAAGAAATTTCACTTTTCTAAGGGATTAATTCAGGCTTTGTATCCACATTATCACAGGAATACTCATTTACCTCTTCTATTCCCCAGTGGAAAAGCTGAAGCACCAACCTATGGTAACTAAGGGTCTTTTCACAGCAATCCAGAAGTCACTTAATATTTTTTCTCTCAGCATATCCTACTAGTCTTTACACTGCACTAGTATAGAAACTATTTTACCCTTCTTTATACCCTTTGTGGCAAGCTAAATAACGCACCCCCCACCCAGAACATCCTTTCTCTAATTCCTAGAACCTACGAATGTTTCCTTACAAGTTAAAGGGATTTTGTAATTAAGCTAAGGATTTTGAGATTGACAGATTACTCTGGATTCTCTAGGTGGATTATCTGCCTATAAGATCTTCTAGAACTAACACCCAAAAAAGATGTCCTTTTCATCATAGGGGGCTGGAATGCAAAAGTACGAAGTCCAGAGATACCTGGAATAACAGGCAAATTTGGCCTTCGAGTATAAAAGGAAGCAGGGCAAAGGCTAACAGAATTTTGCCAAGAGAATGCACTGGTCATAGCAAACATCTTCTTCCAACAGCACAAGAGAAGACTCTACACATGGACATTGCCAGATGGTCAATACTGAAATCAGATTGATTATATTCTTTGCAGCCAAAGATGGAGAAGCTCTATACAGTCAGCAAAACAAACAGGGAGCTGATTTCGGCTCAGATCATGAACTCCTTATTGCCAAATTCAGACTTAAACTGAAGAAAGTATGGAAAACCACTAGACCATTCAGGTATGAACTAAATCAAATCCCTTACGATTATACAGTGGAAGTGACAAATAGATTCAAGGGATTAGATCTGATAGACAAAGTACCTGAAGAACTAGGGACGGAGGTTCGTGACATTGTACAGGAGGCAGTGATCAAGACCATTCCTAAGAAAAAGAAATGCAAAAAGGCAAAACGGTTGTCTGAGGAGGCCTTATGAATAGCTGAGAAAAGAAGAGAAGTGAAAAGCAAAGGAGAAAAGGAAAGATACACCCATTTGAATGCAGGTTTCCAAAGAATGGAAAGGAGAGATAAGAAAGCCTTCCTCAGTGATCAGTGCAAAGAAACAGAGGAAAACAGCAGAATGGGAAATTCTAGAGATCTCTTCAAGAAGATTAGAGATACCAAAGGAACATTTCATGCAAAGATGGGCATAATAAAGGACAAAAATGCAATGGACCTAACAGAAGCAGAAGATATTAGGAGGTGGCAAGAATACACAGAAGAACTGTACAAAAACTATCTTCATGACCCAGATAACCATGATATTGTGATCACTCACCTAGAGCCAGACATTCTGGAATACAAAGTCAGGTGGGCCTTAGAAAGCATCACTACAAACAAAGCTAGTAAAGGTGATGGAGTTCCAGTTGAGCTATTTCAAATCCTAAAAGATGATGCTGTCAAAGTGCTGCACTCAATAGGCCAGCAAATTTGGAAAACTAAGCAGTGGCCACAGGACTGGAAAAGGTCAGTTTTCAAAGAAAGGCAATGCCAAAGAATGCTCAAACTACCACACAACTGCACTCATCTCACATGCTAGTGAAGGAATGCTCAAAATTCTCCAACTCAGGCTTCAACAGTACATGAACCATGAACTTCCTCTATTTCTGATTTATTGACTATGCCAAAGTCTTTGATTGTGTAGATTACAACAAACTGGAAAATTCTGAAAGAGATAGGAATACCAGACAACCTGACCTGCCTCCTGAGAAATCTATATGCAGGTCAAGAAGCAAGTTAGAACTGGACATGGAACTATAGACTGGTCCCAAACTGGGAAAGGAGTACGTCAAGGCTGTATATTGTCACCCTGCTTATTTAACTTATATGCAGAGTAGTACTTATATGCAGAGAATATTATTCGAAATGCTGGGCTGGATGCAGCATAAGCTGGAATCAAGATTGCTGGGGGAAACATCAATAACCTCAGATATGCAGATGACACCACCTTATGGCAGAAAGCAAAGAACTAAAGAGCCTCAAAACGAAAGACGGGAGAAGGGGACGACAGAGGATGAGATGGTTGGATGCCATCACCAATTCGATGGACATGAGTTTGAGCAAGTTTTGGGAGTTGGTGATGGACAGGGAGGCCTGGTGTGCTGCAGTCCATGGGGTTGCAAAGAGTTGGACATGAATGAGAGACTGAACTGACTGATTTAGGTGGGACCTATTTGTAAACACAAATGCCCCAGTAAGAGGAAGGCAAAGGGTGATAAGATCACGGAAACACAGGTTTCAGAGATGTGCTTTTAAAATACTGGAGCCACAAGTCAAGGAATACTGGCTACTAGAAGCTGAAAAAAGCGAAGAAATGGGACTTCCTCTCAGAGTTTCCAGAAGTAATCAGAACTCAGAAAAGCAGTTAAATGAGCTGAACTATTTTTGCTTTATGCTGTCTACAGCAGTGTAAGATAAGAATACAAACCAGCTTTTTGAGGGTGGCGGCGGTCGTGGGTAGAGCGCCATGAAGGCCTCAGGGACGCTTCGAGAGTATAAGGTGGTGGGGCGCTGCCTGCCGACCCCCAAATGCCGTACGCCGCCCCTCTATCGCATGAGGATTTTTGCGCCTAATCATGTTGTTGCCAAGTCCCGCTTCTGGTACTTTGTGTCTCAGTTGAAGAAGATGAAGAAGTCCTCGGGGGAAATCGTCTACTGTGGACAGGTGTTCGAGAAATCTCCCCTGCGAGTGAAGAACTTCGGCATCTGGCTACGCTATGACTCCCGCAGTGGCACGCACAACATGTACCGGGAGTACCGGGACCTGACCACCGCCGGCGCTGTCACCCAGTGCTACCGAGACATGGGTGCCCGGCACCGAGCCCGGGCCCACTCAATCCAGATCATGAAGGTGGAGGAGATCGCAGCCAGCAAGTGCCGCCGACCAGCAGTCAAGCAGTTCCACGACTCCAAGATCAAGTTCCCACTGCCCCACCGCGTCCTCCGTCGCCAGCACAAAGCCACGCTTCACCACCAAGAGGCCCAACACCTTCTTTTAGGTGCAGGCCCTCTGTCCCCGGGTCTGCCCAAATAAAACTTAATGGGAAAACCGAAAAAAAAAAAAAAAAAGAATACAAACCAGACAAGTGCCACTTCTGCATTCATAGGGAATAAAATCCTGAACCCTGGATAAGCAGCTAAGTGGGTCACATAGGCTTAAGAGGTATTTCAACTCAAGCGGTACTAGGCTGCATGTTATCCATTGTGTGTGTGTGAATCTAATATTTTAAATATATTATATATTGCATATTAAAGGTAGCCTAGCTTCCACGGGAAAGAAATTGAAAAGCACAAAGAGTCCTATGTAGTTAACATCAGTAATTTATATTCATTATCTCATTTGACCCTCACAACTCTAGGAAGCAGTCACGTCTGGTACTGAATTCAATTCTGCAGTGGAAAAAGCAGTGGCTGAGAGGTTGATTTGCCCAGTTAAAGGTTAGTAAATGGCTCCTACTCCGATGTCTTTCTACTAGATTATTTTACCTTGACAACAGCAACCGATCTACGTCTAGAAGTTAATATTAACTTCTAAAATAACTTCAAGTTAGAAAAGAAAACAAGACCAACATTTTACAAGCAATACCATATTTTAATTTTACGCGCAATAACTTCAAGTTAGAAAAGAAAACAAGACCAACATTTTACAAGCAATACCATATTTTAATTTTACGCGCACAGAAACCTAATGTCACACGCAAGTGGTTAGAAAGAAGCTGAGGAGAACACGTAGACGAGTAATGTGTTTCTCCGCATGAAAATGAGTACCTACCCTTCTAGGTGTTGCTGTGTGGATTAAATGACATAATACACATAAAGTGCTTATCGGAGCAGCTAGTCTCACAGTTCGCACTATATACTCAAGGATGTCTCTTCCCAGAGGAGAATCTGCTTTTCTGACCCGAAAATTAACCAACTCGGGAGGTGGGTAGGAAAGAATGTGAGGGGAGGGAGAGCGGGTAGGGGAAAAATAGGTCCCAGCTATCTCTCCTTGAACACTTGACAAACAGGCGCTTAGTTTTTACCCAAACAGGACGGCTTCGGCGACACCAACCTAACCCTCAGAAGGTCGGCGGAGCAGTGACGGCATGGATATGACCCAGGGACTCGGATCACTGCACCAGAAGTCCCAACACGTGGCTCCCTCCTCTCACCGCCTCCCCTAATTTCCCTCTGCCCCTAGAGCTACAGGCTCAGCGACTTCGGCTTTCTAGAGTCAACTGGCACTGTCGCCGGCCGTCAAGATAGCCGCCCATCCCAAGAACTTTACCCACCCCAAGCCTGGAAAATATACCTGACCGGGAAGCCCAGGACTGGTTCGGGAACGAACTCGAGCACAGACTCGGAGCCTAGCGGACGACCGGAACTCCACCCTCCAATTCTCTGATTGGATAAACGCGCAAAGGAGCCCGCTGAGGATTGGTCAACAGTAGAGAGGCGGGCCATTGCCGAGGGCGGGGACAGAGGTGGGGCGGGGAGGTGAGAAGAAACGCCGGGAGTTGGCCTCTTTCCGGATTGGACGAAAGCTAGACATCTGAGCAGACGTAGACCCAGCTTCCGTATAGCGACGGGCAACATCGCCCTTTACGTTGCGGAAGTACGTTCCGTTAGCGGAAGTTTTAATGATTCATTGGTTGTAACGAAGGCGTAAGTCTCCTGGCGGCGTGTCCAAGAAAGGGCAAGAAGAAAGCGAGTTCCGCCTCTTCCTCGTTCGACTGGGTCCTTCCGTTTGACAGAGGGCGACGTGAGTTCCTTTCAGAGTTTAGACGCTAGAACTGCCACCGAGCCAGACTCGGGTAGACAACTGGGACGTTGACCAGTAAGTTTCTGCGGGTGAGAAATACTTAGTAGTTCGAATGGGGGGCCCTGAAACACCCACATACACTCAAAACTTTTAAATAATCACTTCAGTGTTGGAACGCAGAGCAATCAGGCTTTTTCGCGGTCTTTGACTTGGCTGTGTCATTGGCTGAAAAAGTTATCAATTTGAACGTAGCTCCGCGTCCACCCCATGCAATCCTGGGATTTGTGGTCCTGGGCGCAAGTGTCCCATAGCTTTGAATGTGGTTGTTGTTGCTACTTCTTCCATGTTAACAACCGCTGATAGTTACTGTGGTTTTCTTGTTTTCCGTTGTCTTTCTTATCATTTCGCTTATCAGGAGTATTAAAGCCAAAGGACACTTAGGAAAACTAGAAGGACTTTATGTAAAGATAAATACTAGTATTTAAAACATTTCACTACTGTGCCTCTGCTGATGCTTAGTTGCTTCAGTCGTGTCTGACTCTGTGCGACCCAATGGACTGTAACCCGCCAGGCTTCTCTGTCCATGGGATTCTCCAAGCAAGAATGCTGGAGTGGGTTGCCATGCTCTTTCCAACCCAGGGATCGAACCCGGGTCTCCTGCATTGCAGGCCGATTCTTTACCACTAAGCCACCAGGGAAGCTAGATGCTCGTTATTAACATACAAAGTGGATAGTAAAAGTCTTGGTTTTTTGCTTTTACAGCAAAATGGTATTTGATTCTCATGTTCGTGTTCACTCGACAATATTTGAAAAGTTCTTTAAATTTGACAGTTATATATACTATTTTGTCTGTTTACGTAAATCAAGTGTTGATATAAAAAGCAGAACTGGCTACTGTGTTGATAGGAAAATAATGCTGTAGTTGAAATGTCAAACATGACCAATTTCAGGATGTGCACACACACTGTATATTATTCAAGATTGTATTATGAGGTCCATTTTCAGTCTTAATAGAAACATGCTGGTTTAAGGCAGAGTTTCCTTGGTTTTAGGACTTCCCTGGTGGCTCAGATGGTAGAGCATCTGCCTACAATGTGGGAGACCCGGGTTCGATTCCTGGGTCGGGAAGAGCCTCTGGCTAAGGAAATGACAACCCACTCCAGCCTGGAAAATTTCATGGATGGAGGAGCGTGTTAGGTCCATGGGGTTGCAAAGAGTCGAACGCGACTGAGTGACTTCATTTCACTTCCTTGGTTTTATTGAATCATGAACTCCTTTCACGTCTGTGAGCACATTTAGTAATATTTCATTGCTTTGTGTTTAGCAAAAGTGAAAATCTGTAAATACCAAAAGCTTTTCTGAGTGGCCCTTTTCAGCATTTTTTTTTTCTATTTAATATGTAATACAAACATGCATACGTGTAAGAAAAAACAGGGCTTGTTGCTGGACAAAAAATTAAGTACAATTCAGAGGATTTACGCCAACAGAAACTGCTTTTATGACTGATGCTTGGAAATAATTGTTTTACAATTTTTTGTGTCTTGTAAGTGATGACAGAAGGTCTCATGTTTTCTTTGTAAATGAAACATGAGAAACATAAGTGTTTTTTTTTCTATAATTCTCAGTACATATAGAGCCAAACGGAGTATAACCACACTGTGTTTTTCCTTTAAATATTTGATATGATGTACTCAGTGAAATATATTGGTATGAAAATCACCATCAGACAAAAATGTAAATTTGTTAGTTTTAATGCCTTCCTTAGTAACTAACATTTTGAAAATATTTTTCCTTTTGCCCCCTATTTTAAATCAGTGATTCATTTGGGATACTTATTAAATTTGTATTACTAAGAATAAAAACTGCAGATATCAAGACTTCTACTATGGTTAGCATGGTTCAGCAGAGTGACAAACCAACTGAATAACTGAATCCTGGGCACATTTGGCTGATCTGTATTAACTGTCCTAAGTGTTCACTTTTTTGGAGTATTTCAGAAGCTCTCAAAGTGTTCCATTTAAAGAGAAACATCTTGAATAGTTTTTCTTTTTTAAACTGAGAATTTAAAAATAGAAATTGCAGCAGTCACCACTACTTCCCTTTAACCCAGGAATCATCTTTGTACACCATCTGTTGGGAAATCGTTTTAAGAAATGACCTCAAAGTAAGAGAAGTGCAAGATGACTTTTGAGATACAGGAAACGAATATTACAATCCCTGGTTGTGTTTACTTTTTGAAACTATTTATTTATTTGTTTATTTATTTGGCTGCCCTGGGTCTTAGTCATGACAGGAGGGACCTTTTAGTTGCAGTGCACGTGATCTATTGCCCTGACCAGGTCAAACGGCCCCCTGCATCAGGAGCGTGGAGTCCCAGCCACTGGACCACCAGGGACAGTTCCTGTGTTTACTTTTTAATATCAACACTTTTTTTAAAAATCTTTTTTTGTATTTTGTTCTTTTCCTTTTTTCAAACCCTTGTGTCCAGGACTGACTTTCAGTAGATCACAGCAAGGGAGCTGCCCTGCCGCATATGAAACCCCAGCCCAGAAGCAGGTCATCTGCCAATGCTTTAGCACCAGGTCCCCACAAACCTGCGGTGGTGACGGGTGAGGGGGCGGCCGCCTTCCTGGCCGTGCCCCGTGTCTCAGGACGAAAGGCTTTCTGCACCAGACCCGGTCCTAATGCATGACTGGTCCCAACACGCAGCGGGGCACGCCATGCTGTGCACCGCGGGACGCGGGCGGCAGGGATGGCAGAGGACTGGCTGTCCGAGGCCAGCTGAGGATTCCGAGGCCAACCGAGGATTCCCAGTGCTGCCGTATCATTCTGCCTGGGTGGGATTCTGACTTGGAGGCATTCAGTCATAATCCCACAGATGGTAGCTTCGACCCATTGACCCCTCAGCCAAGCACATACACCAAATGTCTGAACCCGCAGTTCCTCTCCTACTGAGCAGGATTACCATGCCAACAACACATCACCAGTAGGGTAAAACTAACCTGTCTCACAACAGTCTAGTCCCAGCTCACATTCCCAATTAGTGGGTGAACAGCCCAACGCTTGGTGAATTCTGCTTCAAAATAATAGAAAGAGCTGACATCAAAGGATCAAAAAGCAACGTCACTATGAACGCTTGGCCACCACAAGCCAATTATCCCTGTGGTAGCTTTGCTGACACCGCCTGCTTAAAACCCCAAAGGTCAGAAGGATCGTGAGGACCCGCTTTCACGGTCTGTGTTTGTACTGAAAATC